CGGGACCCATGGCCCCCAGCCGACGCAGCGGGCCCACTGGGAGATGGGGATGCGGCAGCTCCTGCCGGCTGGAAGGGATGTGTGAAAAGTGCTTCGCGAGGTCTTCGCGAAGACAAATGCTTGTGTTGAAGGCAGTGATGGATCTAAATTGCTCGAATTGTTCAAAGCCAGGAGTCGGGCTCCCTGAATAGCGTTTCCGAACGGTTTCTACACCAGGACCCCACTCACTCTGTAAATCAAGACGTAATGGGTGACTGGGGCTATCCGTTATCATTAACCATCCACAGACGCTTTCCTGGAGAAGTCTGCCAGCTGTGGTCTGGCCAAAGTCCAGCTGGGGTAATTACATTTGCCTCGCAGCTAAAACGAGTGCAGCGCGTTCCTCTGCAGATCCCTCATTCGCGGATGTTTGCTATCTGGATGGCGGCAGCACATCGCTGTCCCTTAACCCCTCGCTCCGAGTCTCTAAAGTTTGAGCCTCCTGGAGGGGGTTCACGCTGCCCTTATTTACTATTTAAGTCAATCTGCCAGGGAAATGTTTACTTCTTTGCTGAAATACGGACTCTCTTCTCTAAGTGCACCCTCACTTGAGCCTTGAATGAGCAATCAGCGCTTCCCGGTATTTACTCTTTCCAACGCGAGCTAGCCCAGGCGTTCACGCTCGGGTTTTGCACCTTTCCGCTGCGCCACGGTGTGCCGATTATCCTGCGCTCTTGATTTAACGGACCCTTAAGCTGCCTGGTGCGCGGCGTGACCCTCCGAGACGGGGGCTTGTGAAAGCTTCAGAGCAAGAGGACGCGGCCCGTTTTCTCCATGGACGGTTTATGGGGAGCACATGCGAAAGCCCAGGCATGCTGGGCTGAAATAACTGCACGAGGCTAGGGGCTTGGTGGCCGTTCAGAGCCACCCATCCTGAACCGTCTGTCTGATGGCCCTTTGCAGCTGTGAACCTCCCCGATGGCCGGTCTGCTCCAACGGGGATGCAGAAGGACACCAAACTCCTTGGCCGATGAGCTGCAGGACGGGCGGAGGCAAGCGAGCTTGCGGCAGAGTCGCCTCTTGCCCGTCTGCCGCTCCGATCCGACCTTGCCCGTTGCGTTGCTGACGCTCGCCTCGGGAACGCGTTTCTCCCGGGAAACGCTCCCGTTTGTCCCGCTCGCTCTCCTCCTCTTCCTTCGTGCCCGATGCTTGTTTGTCCTCCCCGCTTGGAAAGTCGTCACCCAGTCGTTCTCATCAGCGGAGATGAGAAGCAGCTTTGGGAGAGGTGCTGCCCGCACGGTCGGGGCCCTCGGGGTATTTGTGAGGGGCCGCGATTGCCGGGGCTCCGGGTGGTGTTTTACGCCCTAACCCCAGTTGTTTGCCCGGGGAAGGCGACGCTGGGCTCTTGCACGGTGCCGGTTTTCGGGTAGAGGGGCTCTGTCTGTGGCGCCCGCTTGCAAAAGCGATCGAGGCCGAAGCCCGGAGCGACGCCAGCACCCACCGTCCAGGGCAGCAGTAGGGAGAGAGGGACAAGCGCAGGCAGACGGACGGACGGAGCCATGGGCGAGCTGGGCTGGCGAGAAGCGCTGCTTTAGGGCGCCCGAGCGGCGCTTTGAAGCTTGGCTGGACGGAGTAAACGGTTAGAAATGACTTAAAAGCTCTCCTAGCTGTAAGCAGGCTGCAGGCCATTAGATCGGTGGGTATCGACTCTTATAACATCTCTGCTTCTCCAGGTTTTTCCTTGTCCAGTGTTATTTTTATAATTGAGGGAAACTATCCTGGTCTGGTTTAGGGTAGTTTAACAGATGTTTTCAGTCAAGGTCCTCATGCAGCAAACAATATGGATTTTTATTATCTGTTGTTCTCTCCTGGAAGTCTTTCCTCGCCCTCCGTGTTAGCTCGTGTTGTTGTGCTAGGAGTGGACTTGCAAATTTTGGGGTTATCCTTGCCTGGGTTCGGTTTCCAAGCGTCATAAATGCGTCCCCCCGTTTCCTGATACCTCTCCCGTTCTCCAAGAACGAATTAGGAAGAAAATAAAAACGTGTCTGGCGTGCATATCTGTGAGTTCTCTAATGGCCTCGGGTCTGGGGCATCCGACCAGCCAGTTTGCAGAGGTTCAGAATCTCCTCAGGCTCCTTTCTGGTTCTTTGGCGATAGAAACTTCGTGAGCCCCGTTAGCCGTTGTTGCTGCTAATGCTTTTTCCAAAATAATTGTATTCTCCTATGGCTTTAACTGCCGTGTCTGGGAAGTTCCTCCGTGTATTGGAGGAGGCATTACTTCTCCTGCTGCTGGACTTCTCCAGAAACTTCTGAGAAATTTAAATTTCTCATTCCTCACAGTTTTGGGGGATTTGGTTTTTTTTTGTTTTGTTTTGAAATCCCTTACCTTTGCATCCCGTACCTTTGCATTGCTGCCTTTGCAGAAGACTCCTCCTGTGGAGGTCGAGGGCAAGTAGTTGGTGGCTGGAGGCTGCGAGTCCTCTGCCCTTGTCGTCCCCTTGGTAAGCTGGCCAGAACGACTCATGGGCGCTTTGGCTTTCTCTTGGCCTCCTAAAGCACAAAACGAGTCGGATAAATTGTGGGAAGGAGACGGGCCGTGGGAGAGGGGTGAGCAGCGAAATGAGTTGCGTGGGACTCGTTGCTCCCGCTGCCCAGGTGACGGTCCCCGGGGGCGCGGGAACGCGCCGCAAAGAAAACGGGATCCGAGCCCCGCGCTGGGCGTTTTCTCCAAAGTCGGAGATTTGTGATTTGCTGCTGACAGCATGAGCCGGTGTTAAGTTATTAAATTGCACATGAGCTCATCGTTTGGCCTAGAACAAGTTTCAGCCTTGAGTGGCTTTAAAATATTACATGCGGTGGGAAGAGACAGCGCTGGTGCGGCCGAGACTGAGGGAGCAGCTGAGAAAGACATTTGGGCATAAAAAAAATGTGCAGCAGGAGGGAGGAGGGACTGGTTCATGCAAAAAAATGTAAACTGTCCCAGGAGGGAGAAGGAGAGAGCGAAAGTCTCAGATTTATTGGTTCTGTGTTTTAATTTTAGCATAAGAGAAAATTGTCAAGTTTTTGATGTGCTTAAAGGGAAGAGGCAAGATATTAAGCCTGGCTTGATCCTGAAAGATCCCGGAGCATCCAAAGCTGCGTGTGCGGGATTACTCCTCGCTAGCCCCGAAATCGGCTCCTGCGATCGCGCGTGGTGTTTGCCAGTGACACCAATGACCAGGGGCCAAATCCGTTGCTGTTAGGAGAATTATTTGTTCCCTGGAAGGGTGGACGCTGGAGATCTCCAAACGGGTTTTGTGCGCGATGGCTCCTTGCTCGGACCCAGCTCCCATTGCCCTCCCTGAGGAGTTTCTCCCCGTCCCGAGCGGTTTCCGCGGCGTCCCCGGGAGCCGGTGCATCCCGAGGGTCCTGCTGCGGGAAGGTCCGGGATGGGGCTCCCGGGGTGATGACAGCCCTCTCCCTGGCTGTGGGCTGTGGTGGGCTCCCAGTTCTTTCCATTTCTCTGTTTTTTGGGTTTTTTTTTTCCTCTTGCAAAAGAGCCTAAGCTGCAGAGTGCATCTGGGTCTGCACGGTCGCCCAGGATCTTTGCAGCGCTAAAATCCTCAGGCAGGAAGACGGTCTTCAGCAAACGAGCTAGTTCTTCCACCCTAATGAAAAACAAACACTCTCGCGCAGCCTTGGTGGGCTCGCTGTGCTGTTGCGGTACCGCTCGCAGGGAGTGCAGCGTGCGCTGTCAGCGTATTTCTACACTTTTTCTGCGCTGAGATTGTAATTCTTTTTTTTGTTGTTTTTTTTTTCAAATGCCAACTTGGCAGATGCTGTGGGATAGATCGTACATCGCTAGAGCTGCTTTATTTTTTAAACTAGGTGTGTTTGCAATCAACTGGAGCGCTGACTGATGGTTTTTGTGTCTGTTTGCCTTTGTTTTAGGGCTTTTTTTTGGGGGGGGGGTGCTGCCAGCAAGGGAA